CATTTCAAGATATAGATGGATCTGTTTTCAATTGGGCAATACATTGATAAGTCACACGAGTCTTCTTTCCAATTACATGTTTAGTTATTTAGTATGTTTCGGTTCGGTGCACCACGTGAGTGAAGCAAGAAAGAAAGGACACATAATTACAAAAAAACCATAAACCAGCAACATAACTATTTACAAGGTAATAAAGACAGTTGGCTGCTGTGCTCGTCTAGTTATCAAATGGTTCATATATCACTGGTTCGGACTGCTTTTGAACGGGCTCGCTTTGCCACGTCCTCGCGTCTAATTGCATGTCTGATCAACGAACATTTTGTCCGAGCCAATGCCGATTCACCTTACACTATTGTCATACATTCTGTCGATGGTGATAGCAACGTGGACTACAAGCTCGTTCTCTCGCTCATTCATCCGGTCCCAGTAGATTCCTTGCCTTCGTTAGACCCTACTGATATAGTACCATTTCATATCTTTGACACAAACGGCAAGGAGTTTCTCTGTCCTGTCGAGATTGCCGATCACTTTTGGAAAGGATGTACCTTTGATTTGAAACAAGAGTTGGCAAGTTCAGTTCGCAATCAGGAATGGCTATTCAACCATCTTCCTACAAAAATCCCATCTCTCTTTTCGTCGGCTATCGAGTGGGAGCATTATCTAATTGAAGGTCATCCCACTCATCCAATGCATCGTTTACGAATGCCTTTTGATGACTTTGAATCTATTTTAGCAGCTCCTTGTATCAAGTTCATTTCGATTCCTCGTTCGCAATTGGTTATTCACGGTGATTGGGAGACGATTATGAAAGGTTATCTTCCTACGGCACCGTCACCTGACATTCTCATTCTACCAGTTCACGAGCTGCAAGTGTTCAACGTGCTTTCACGTATTCCATCAGCAACGCTCATTCCAAACTTCGAACGGCGATCTGTCGCTCAAAGTTCTATTCGAACAGTCTCCCCTCTACCTGTCTCAGATTTGCCTGGCTTTCATCTAAAATTGGCGCTTGGTATATGCACGACTGGTGCATGGCGAACGATCTCTTGTTATTCTGTTTACACTAGTTCTCGCATTACTCCACTCGCCAAATTCGTTGCTCCAGAATGCCTTATCGTGTTGGGCGAAACAGCATCGATTGGCTCGAATTCCACTGACGAGATGGTGAGCAAACATATTGCTTGTATCGTACGTGAAGATCCTGAAATGCTCATGCCCAATGAATCGATTATTGTGGCACAGTCTCTCGTTGAGAAAACACCCGATGATGACATGACTCTTGTTCGAGTCATCTTTCATCTTGATACCGAACAGAAATGCATCGATTTTCTTATGCGATACTCTGAACTCGTTTGTGCTTCGTTCTTACCGCCCATGCTCAAACATGGATTTTGCTTTGAATCACACGGACAAAATACACTTGCCAGATTCGATAGACATACGGGACAGTTAATCGGTTTTGCTATACGAGACTTCTGTGGTGTTAGAATTCATCGAGAACAATTTGAAAGGACAACTCCCTTCCAACTTGACATTTTACCTGGCTCGTGCATCGTCACTGATGATATAACGGAAGTCTACGCCAAAGCATTTCATTGTCTCATTCAGAATCATATGAACCGGTTAGTGCGCGCATTAGATCTCCATTATTCGCGCAAGGGTTGGATAATTGTGCGCAAAGCCGTTGAGAAATATATAAACGCCACATCACCAGCAGGAAATATGTGGTTCAAGGAAACGGTACCACTCAAAGCGTTTCTCAGGATGAAACTTGCTGATAAAGATAGTGATTCTATTTATAGCGAAACTCCCAATGTTTTGGCATTGGCTGAGAAGGATGCGGAAGACTGATTCGATGTTAGAAATTTTAACATATTTGTATTGTTTGCTGAAATCTTTAAATAAACGAAAAGACTAATAATATGAACATATGAGAGAATTGCCAAACAATTCTAGGGTGGATGTGCGTGTGGATGTGAATGGGATTGGAATCGTGACTATTTCTTGATAAACGGTGTTTGTTTCTATTTTGGTGCTAACAAAGGTAAGAATAAAAAGGTATAAGACCATAAAAGTTGCAGTATTCAGGATAGGGAACTGTAAAACGCATTAAAGACTAAGTGGTTCTTTCGTTCTTGTCCAATATTTGGTCTGCGTTAGGGTGAAAATTAATCTATATCTTTAAATAATATAAATCAATCTGCTACTCTCAACTTTTACTTTTCAGCAACCGATTAAGTTCAAATAAATTTTATTTGAAAATAAATTGATAATGTGCTTGAATTAAATTCAATACAAAAAATGATGCAGATTAAATTTACGCCGACTGTTTCATGCTTATTCATTAGAATATTAAAACACTCTTCAGGGTACTGCATGACAATATAAAGCACAAATAACAAAATATAATAAAACAAAATAAAATAAATGAAGAAATAATAAGTATTTGAAAACATACAAAGTAAGAATGGAAAATAATTTTTTAACGAAAACTAATGTTTCAAAGCTCTTTTATATTTAGGCATTATTACAAAAGGCATGCCTCGTCGATTATAAAAAAGGAAAGAGGAAAATTAAATAAGAAGTTATTTATAAAGTCTTGTGGGCAATCATTGGTAACTACTATCCATTTCAAAATAGAAGAAGGGTTAGTGTAAGTTGAATAACTCGAGAACGCAAGCAACTATCGAGGTCGGGTTTTCACCATCATGTAACCAACAGCAGAGCACGTAGCCCTATGTAAATAACAAAATTTTCAAGAAGGTCTCTAGGGAATTTACAGGTGGGTCTTTGGAAAACCACATCGATTTTTAGGAATCCAATGTTGGATTTTTATTTTAAATACGTGTATTCAATAGAAAAAATCGTTCTCTTTCGAGCTACCCAAATCCGATGTTTCTGACTTGTTCCGTTCAGAAGTTTTAAGGGTTTTACAGAAACCCAGGGTTTTGGCTCAGTGTCCCTGGATCAATGGAAAGCAGGTCTAGAGAGGGGTAATTGATCACACTGAGTCGAGTGATGATGTTTGTTCCCACTTTCAAAACTATCTAAATTCACAAGCTCAAAGTTTTCGAGATCCAACTGTTTCCCCTTTGTAGAGGAAAGTGACGATATTTCGAAAACTTTCAGCTTGTGAATTTAGATAGTTTTGAAAGTGAAAACAAACATCATTGCTCGACTCAGTGTGATAAATTGCCCCTCTATAGATCTGCTTTCCGTTGATCCAGGGACACTGAGCCGAAACCCTGGGTTTCTGGAAAACCCTTAAAACTTCTGAACGGAACAAGTCAGAAATGGTGTGGGTGTGAGAATGGATGTTTAGTGTAGGCGTGAGTGTGAGCGGATGTGGTTCTTTCTCTCATATACCCCTATACACATCCACACCCACACCCCACTTATTGAATATTTCATCTAGTGGAGTGATCCTTTTTTGGTGATCGGTCAAACACATAGGTAGAGGTAAAACGGGCATAGTGTATGATCAACATTCTGTAAATAGTAACTTATCTATTTTTCTAATGGCAAACAAAGATGCGAATACGCTGAACTTAACAACACAAGATACTCTATGATATTTTTAAAAGAAAACGAAATTAATTTTAGCATTTGAACAATATAAAGCTTAATACAGATAAATCCGATATGCCAAATATACAAAACGTATCAGGTAAAATTAAATAAATTATTGATTGTAAAAAACATTAATACAACTGAATTGCTACTAAATATATCAGATGTTTTAGTTTACGTAGCGCCGTAAACCGTATATTGCTATAATGAATATCAATAGAGAAAGTTATACAAATATAATTGTGATTCGGGTGTATATATTGACTCTTTTGAATAATAGATTTCTGTATTATTGTTATTCTTTCTAAAACTATCGAAAGGAAATTTTTTAGATTATGCCATTGAAATCTAGAATCGAAGAAAAAGCTTTTCAAGAGGCACTTCGATCACTTTGTATCGATGAATTGATTTTATTGAAAAGCAGCAAATTGACTAGGAACATATGGGGTATTCTTTGTTTGAAAACGGATAAAGTAGATAACGTCGAAAATCGGCGGGCATGTTATGATGCTTGGAGACAAAAGCGATATAATTCACATGAAATAGTCAATAGTATTTTGCATGTATGTACTTCGAAGTTCAGTCTTAATTTATATATTAAGCATCTTTCATTGTTACAGGAAACGCAGCGATCTACAAACACCATAACGGTTCAAAATAACATTCTTGAGGAAGATCAAATTACTGATCGAACAATGGTTAGTGTAAAAATCAGCCGATTCTAGATAGCTCGTCTTATATTTGATGTATCATGTTTAATATTGTATTGGTATCTTAGGCACAACAAGTTAATTCAGTTTTAACTAGTGATTCTACGCAAGATAACTTATCGTCATCAACAACTCGTATGATAATCACAAACAACGACCAGATCACACAGAGAGCTGTGAGTGAAGTGAACATTTAAGCCTAACGATTATAGATATTTGTGTTTTCGTCACCCTCTCTCACTTTCACATTATTTGTTTTATCATATCTAGTATAACTATTGAAGAATGCAAATAGAGAAGAGAGTAAGATGTATAACCTCAATCAAAATAGAAAGAAACTAGAAAAATATTAGAACGAAAAGCCAATAATAGTGCAATCAGTAATACTTGATGTTAATAGTGGAAAAAAGTCTGTTAGCAATGATATTATTGAAGTAGTACCCATAGCAACAAACTGCTAAATATTGAAAAAAGCGATTCTGGATATTACTCTTAGAAATTCTAATCATTTTTCACATTTGAAAGTATGCAATGATCGATAAACCTGGTTAAGTATCTATAATTGTTGATAGGCAAAAAGACACAGAGAAAGTGCTTGTTTTTGCATTAATTTGAAGATGATCACACAAAATGTATATGCTTCATGACTGAAAAGAACTGCAACAATACATTGCACTCGGTAGCACGTCTTGGGCTCTTCGTCTTGAACAATTCAAAACAATGTCATCTGCTAATAAAGAAGCTGGAAATAAAAATGCTGTAGGATCAAGTCCATCAGTAATTCGAAAAATATCAAGTGAAGCAAATGTCAAACTTCGCCGTGATGAAGAATTAGATAAAAGTCTTCTCCAACTCAAGATGGAGAAAGCCGATAAAATCTTTCCTGGTGAGCAAGTTCCCGGTTATCTTCAAGAAATCAGCATGGATCCATTAAGACTCATTTGTTTCACAACAGGTGGTATTGCTGCCTATCATTGATTTGCATCTAGGGGGTGTGGAGTGTGGGTATGAGTGGGTGTAGGTGCTATTCTTCTTATTTAAATCCATATCCACACTCAAACTCACACCCACATCCCATGCTCCATACCCCACATCCACATCTCACGCTCCATACCCCACCCCCACACCCACACCTACACCCACACCCACCCATACCCACATCCTCAAGTAGCTTAAAATAACTTCAAGTAAGTTTGAAGTAGAAAAGTACGTCAAAGTAAACTACTTGAAGTAGCTCAAAGTAACTTCAAATCCAAAAGGCCGCTGTTTCCTCCTTGCTTTCTTCTGTTACCGTCAGCAGAAATGAAAAATAAGTGAACAGCTATAGTTGGATATTACCCATGTAAAAAAAATGACCTCAATAATCACAAAAAATCTGATTTTTAATCGATTATAATCATACGATTCTTAATCAATGGTTTACACGGAAATAATCAGAAAAAAATCAGTTTTTTTTTCAGTTTGATTATAATCGGTTTGAAATTGAGTTAAAAAAAAATCATTCGCTCGCTTGACTACATATCAATCGGACGTATTTTTTCTTTTCTCCTTCGCGCACATTCATACACTTCATTGATTCATCACGCGTCCAACGCGTGTTACTTATTTAAAATAAAATAAAACAAACAAACAAAATAAACAATAAATAAATAAAACCAACTTAAATTACTGATAATTTAGTCAATATATGGCTAATTATCACACAAATAAAAAAATGGTTTATTCAAATCAGCAACAAAATCGTTATTCCATTGATAATATAATCGGTCAATTACCTCAATCATGTTATTATCATCAATGTTCATGCCCAGCTACACAAGTTGATCCATTATCCAACGTGCACTTCATATCGAAAGAAAATCGTCGTCATCAACGTATTCCACCACCACTATCAACGAATACGATTCCAATCAATTCGCCAGCTCGTAGCAAACGTGGTACTCTATCAAGTAATCCAGATGATGATGATTTTCAACTTGTTTCACACCAAAAAAAAAAAAACAAACGGACATACTCAAACGTCAACAACAACAACCAAATACTAATGTTAATATTAATAACCCCACAACAAATACAGTACGATCCACAGCTTCAAATACAACTACAAACCCCATCAACAACCTTGAAAGTCCACCAAGTAATCAAAATTTAACAACAGCTGCTACTCGATATGCAACAACAAGATTCCCATTCCCACCATACATTATACGGTTTAAATCGAACCAGGTTACATTGAACCATTTCAATGAAGATATTGTCCATCATTTTAAAAACAATCATCAGATTAATATTGAAATTCTCAACTGTCGTTCATCAAAGGTAAAATGTAATAATGATGAGATTGATTTTCTTCTTTATTTAAAGGGCAGTGTGTCTTTTGCTTCATTATATGATCAAACTATTTGGCCATTAAAACTTGCTGGTAATGATTATACATTTCCTTCTTGGCCATCGATACCCCCTCAACTTTCTCTTATATTAAAAAATGTCAATGTTCAAATTGATCTTGAAGATTTCACAAATGAAGTAAAAGCTCTTGTTCCTGATGTAAAAAATGTTATTCGTATGAAGAACAAATTCGGAAATAACATACATATGATTAAACTGGAACTTGTTTCACTATTAGCTCGACAAGATTTAATTGATGCAAAAAAATTAATTATTAATTATATATCTTATGAAGTTACGGAATTTCTTGCACCAGTTACTGTACTTATTTGTTCTAAGTATAGTGGCATTGGCCACTTTCGCAAGCAATGCACAGAACAAAACGAGACGTGTAAAACATGTGTTCAAACATTTGCTGACCTGAAAAATCATCATTGTACAATGGATCCATTATGCAAGCACTGCAACGGCAATCATTTATCAAACCCCATGAAGTGCCCAATTATCAAAACGTTTCGAGCTGAACTTACCAAAAAAATACTCAACACAAACGTTCGTTCATCTTCAACAGCTGATAATAATAATAATAATAATAATACGAACAATAACATCAACAACAAATACATTTACAATCCGCAAAATTTTCCACCATTACCAACAACTCAATCGACATTAAATAATTCGGTGATGCTGAAATTGGACGAATTAATGACAAAGATGTCTGAAGTAAAGGAACATCTGTCGAATCTCTCATCAAAACATGAAAAGTATGAACAGTTCATGATAGAAAAAACACAAAATGATGAACGTGTAAATCAACAAATTGAATTACTATTATTAAATGATCAAGATTTAAAAAAAGATTTACTTCAACTCAAATTATTGATCGAAAGACGTGATAATTTATTCATGAAATTATTATTTCCAATGTTTGAAGATTTATTTTCTCATATTGCTGCACTCAATCAGGACAAAAGAGGTAACACGCTAGATGCGAACCTGAAAGTTAGACTAGAGCGTTATCTTATCCAAGTGAAAAAAACAAAAGAAGGCAAATTATGTATGACCTAATGTTACTATCGCCGAATGCGCCTCCTTTTTTCTCTTGTATCTCTTCTTTAAAACAGTGTAAAAGAGAATGTTTTTTATCCAGAGCCCATGAATGTTTATCTTATTTTGACTTTATCCTTTTCACGAACATTCTAGCGGAGTGGGAGAGCTCCCCTCTATTAACTACATGTTTCTCTTCATGGCAAAATTATGTTTGCTGTGACACTGAGTCTTCTTCTTCATCTCTACAAGTACTATCATTCAACGTGCGTGGATTCGGACTGAGATGGCAGGAAGTCCTTCTCCTGACAACATCATATAAGGTAGATCTGCTCATACTCCTGGAAACAGGCACAGTCGATTTTTGCCTTTGCCAAAAGGCATTTCCAAACTTTATTAGTTTTTATCAAAAGGGGGAAAACCGTAATGGTGGTGTCTTAGTACTAGTCAGAGTAGGAATTCACGTTAGTAGAGTCGACTGTAGGCTACCAAATGTTTGCGTAATTGATATTAAGGCAGATGAAGAACTTCGTGTCCTCGGAGTTTATGCATCTGATAGTAGATCGTGGTCGTGGGATGATCTGTCCCACTTCATTTCTAGTAAATGTGTTCTCTTCGGAGATTTTAACGTTGACTTGTACAAGGATGGTAACAAAGCTGAGAAGATCCTGGGTTGGGCTGATATGAACTCTTTAGCCCCCTTTCTACCTGACACACCAACATCCCTACGCGCCAACAGAATAATAGATTATGCATTTGCAGGTGGTGTAAACGTTAATATCATGACACATAAAGGCAACACAACGAGTGATCATCTTCCCGTTCTCTCATTCATCCCGATGAGGATTAAGCAGAACAACTTAGGAAGAAATATACATTGGAAGGTATTTTCGCTTTTTATGGAATACGCATACCCCTTCTGGGAGATGACATGGGATACAAGGAACCTCAATATAGCATATAATGATTATATCAAATTCCTATATCTTCTAACAGCTCGATGCACAGTCACTTTCCCCATAAATAGGTATCGTATTGCAATTCCAGCTGTTCTAAGAGCATCTATGTCTTACGTTAGAGCTCTATCCTTTCGGCAACTTAGAACCAGAAATCTCGCACAAAAAAACGAAGTACTTGCCCTAAGAGAAATAGTTAAACAACAATTAAAATACTATCGCTCACATCAACTCTCCCTGATGTTACAATCTCGTAACACAGCCGCACCAATTTCCGTCTCGTTCTGGTCAAAAACTAAACGATATCTCAAACAGTCGTCCTCTAGTCTCCAGGCACTATATGATCCTGCAGGAAACATTTGTAGGGAACCACATGAAATGTGTGAAGTTGCTGCTAACTACTATGAAGACTTCTTCAAGCAGCAGGAAGTAGTAAGACCACACCCATATACTGATTCTCCACTGACCGATTTTGAGAACCATGAGGAAACGATCCCCGAGGTTTCTCTCACAGAATTACTTGAAACGGTACATGCCAAACGAAAGAAGAAATCCCTGGATGCTCATGGACTCTCAAACTTTACGTTCAACTTCATACCCCCGGCGTATTGGTCTCTACTCTTAGAACTCTATAATCTCTCTTTCAAAAAAGCGATCCTACCTATCGCTTGGAAAGACACTCGTATGATTCTCATAGCAAAGAAGGAATCAATCTGTGATCCGAGTGCAACCCGACCTATCTCGCTCCTCGATGTCTTCCAGAAAGTAGGAGAAAAACTGTTTCTCACCCGCTTTCAGGAGGTCCTACGTAGGAGGGGTTTACTCCCGGACAATCAATCCGGATTTAGAGATAGTTTCAGATTACAAACCCGGTTATTACTTTTTTTAGAAGATATATATAGCTTAATGTCCAACAGCGCCCCCGTATGCACTGTGTTTGTAGATTTTCGGTCGGCGTTTGACCAATTATGGTTCGCTGGTTGCTTAGGAAAAATGCGTAGAGTAAGTATCCCCCCTGCCTACCTGGCCTGGATTGAAGCATGGCTAATCGACAGAAGAGGTTTTATAGATATAAATGGTAGAAAATCGCGCTGGTTCGCAATAGACAAAGGTTGCCCACAGGGCGGTATTTTATCGCCCAGTTTATTTATAGCCTATCATTGTGATATGGGTCAATTCCTCACCGGGTGCATGAGCCATTTTTTTGCCGACGACCTTGCGGCAATTGTAGCGGGGCAATTGGGCATACGCTACACAGATCAATGTCTTGATCTGGAAATAAGGATTAAATCCCTCATAGATCAGCTTGAATATTATTCATATTTGTCAGTACAGCCCATCAACTTCACCAAAACGGAAGCCCTATTCAGCGCTCGAGCGATAGGCCTACCCAAGTTCGATATATTTTTTGACTCGTCTAAAGAAAAAAAGATCCACTGGACAAATGAATTTAAGTACCTTGGGTACTGGATCACCCCCAAACTAGGTTGGGGTATGATGCTCATGAAAACGATGACGAAGATTAGACAACGTGTCTCGTTAATCAGATCGTTTAAACTCGGCGGCTGTTCCTCCCCTAAGCTGAGACGTGCCCTCTTCGCGTCGTTCGTGCTACCATTGTTTACATGGATTTACCCTCTGTTCCCACTCCTCACTGACAAGCAAAGAAACGACCTATCCCATTTTTACTACACTTGCCTGCGAAGAGTCATGTTCGCCCTGCATTGGAATGAAAATTTTTTTGCGTACGCG